GGACATGGCGCACAGCCCTGGGACCTGCCCCCAGTCTCTCCCAGTCTCCCCAACACCCCCCATCCTCCCAGTCCATCCCAATGCCCCCAGACCCTCCAGCCCTCAGTTAGAAGCCATTTCCCCCTCCCCACCCCCATGCACAACCCTATACAAGACAACAGAGAATCCATCACCTCCCTTCCTATCCCCGTCCCCCTAGTCTGTCCCAGTCCCCCCAGTGCACCCCAGTCCCTTTAGAGCTTTGCAGATCCCCCAGCCCTGGGGTAGAGGCCATTTCCCCCTCCCCAGCCCATGCACAGCCCTATATGAGACAGCAGAGAATCCACCACCTCCCATCCCAGACCATCCTAGTGCATCCCAGTAAGCCCAGCTGCCAGCACCCACCTGCCCTGGGCTGAGGTGACCAAGTTGCTGTCGGTGCAGAGCAGCCCGACCCCTGTCAGGGCCACGTGGTCCTTGGTGGGTTTCTGCCCCTTCTCCACCTGGGGCCAGGAGGGGTCAGCAGCCGGCAGCTCCGCGCCCACCTCCCGGGATCTGCGTCCCTTCCCAGGATTGGTGTCCTCCCTGGGATCCGTGTCCCCTCTGGGATCCATGTCTCTTCCCAGGATCTGTGTCCCCCCTCGGGATCTGTGTCCCTTCCTGGGATCTGTGTCCCCCCTGGGATCCATGTCATCCCCCCTCAGGATCTGTGTCCCCCATCAGGATTCGTGTCCCACCCTAGGATCTGTATCATCCCCCCTCAAGCTCTGCGTCCCTTCCTGGCTCTGTGTTCCCTCTGGGGATCCATTTCCCTCCAAAGGATCTATCTGTCCCCCGCCCTCCCTGCCCAGCTCCATGTTCCCCTGGGATCCATGTCCCTCTCCCAGCTCCGTGTCCCCTCTGGCTCTACATCTCCCCCAGCTCCATGTCCCCCACTCCGTCATCCCTCTCCCTGTCCCCTCATCCCCACCTTGATGGAGAAGCCCTTGGCGTGGTGCCCGGCGCTGCAGAACTCAGGGGGCCCCCAGGTGCCCTTGGTGCCCCCGTTGGACACGGCCAGGTGGCCAGGCGGGAGCCCCGTTGACATGCTGGGCGTGGGGGGTGCCATGGCAGGGGGGGCCTGGGATCCG